AAATAAGACAATTAAGGTAGCAAAGTTCATTGACATACACATCAAACCTCTGTAAACCTAAAACAGAAACTTGACTTTCTTTTCAAGCCCCAATAGAACAGTGATGAAAACTGACTCCATACTAGGGCCACATGAACACTTTCTGAAACCAAAAAGTTCAAAAGAGAAGAGTCGGTATTCTCTCACTAAAATGCGACCCAATGTCGAATAATAACAAAGCCAAAACACCAAAACATCCTCTATTTAGAAATTTTAAAACTTCCTCCTAAACAACTCCTAAAATGAGAAGAAAATACATACCAAAACAGCAGAACTTCTAGAAAGCAACGATAAGGAAATTTGTTCGATCAGAACTTAAGCTATCAGACCTTAAATACGAAAGGCTTTTTAAAAAGAATGTGAACAAANTTCCATGAGTCAGAAGTTGGGCTGTGTTCCTTCCCGGAGATGCTGGAAAAATAACTCAGGTTGCGGGAAGAGTCCAGGTTCTTGTGACTGCAGGACTGAAGTGCCCGAGTCCTTGCTGTTAGTGGGGGGGAGGTGTCACCCTCAGCTCCTAGACCCTCCTAGACCCTGCTGCAGTCCTTCAATTGGGACCTCTCTGAGGTTGCCTTCACCAGACCTCTCTCACTGGACAAAGTTCTCTCCTTTTCAAGGCTTAGATAACTACATAGAGCCCACCCAGGTAATCCAGGCTAGTCAATCTACATCTGCAAAGTCCCTTTCTACCATGTAACATGACATGGTCAGAGGTGCCAGGGGAGAGTATGGCTACCTGGGGTAAGGGTAGGGTCAGGGGGAGGACATCATTCTGCCCATCACACAAGCTACTGGATAAATAATCCCCATAGACGTACAGGGCTACGAGCATTATATGACATTATATGAGATGTTATTACAACATTTCATAGTGACGAAGGTATAGACTGTCCCAAATATCAGAAGAACTGTAAAAACTAAAAAGAAAAAAAGCAAATTACAACAGAATAAAAGACGAAAAATAATACAAACACACACCACAAAACTAAGATCAAATATGCTTGATCTATCAATAAATGTCAATTAGTTGAACTTACCTAGAGAAAAAAAGATTCTCAGATTGAATCACAAAGCAAAATCCAACTTGATCTGGCACATAAGAGACACAAAGTAATCCAGAGGGTTAAAAATAAAAGAACGGGCAAAGGTGTGCCAAGTAAACACAAACTCAAGAAAGCACTAGTCATGATCTTACAGTCAGAAGAGGGAGAAATAAGACAAAGAAGGGCACCTTGATACTAACAGGTACCCCTCAGAATAAAAATACAACAGTCAGAAATAGCTATGCACCAGATAACATTGCAGCCCACATTCCCTGCAGCCACAAGGGGAAATGAACAGAAATGCCACAGTGGTAGAGACTAATTCACTTCTCTTGTCCACAACAGAGCAAGAGGACAAAAACTAAGTAAAAGTGATAAGTGACCTAAATAAGACAATTAAGGTAGCAAAATTCATTGACATACACATCAAACCCCTGTAAACCTAAAACAGAAACTTGACTTTCTTTTCAAGCCCCAATAGAACAGTGATGAAAACTGACTCCATACTAGGGCCACATGAGCACTTTCTGAAACCAAAAAGGT